TTCCTCTCACCAATACCATAGAATGGACTTGGAACTACACAGGATCACTGACATGACTACTTGTGTGTGTGCTTAAAGCGCCACTGTCGTTCTTTTGTCGTCAAATTTAGTTCTTGATTGAAGGGGAAATGTTTAAAAAACAACAACCCCCCAAACCTTAAGGGACCCTGGCAAATGAAGAAAGAACACACCACAAGGTGCTTTACTTATCATCTTAAGCGTTACTTATAATAACTGAAAAAAATAGTTTCTATTTTTCTCCTGTGTTTGCATAATCAGTTCCATTATGCAACAGCCATTACCTATTTCTGGAGGTTCTCTCAACAACAACAGGTGAGAGGAAGAGGTTTAAAAGAGTAGAAGTGTAGTTGAAAACCAATGAGCTTTGATTAAGATCTCTCAGACAGAGGTCATTTTTTTCCAGATTGAGTGCATTTGGCATGAACTTATTTAAATAACAGTAACTTTAATCATGACTTAGATACTCTATTTTGATCATGTTGCTCTTGTATTTTTCAGTTCTTTTCCTCAAGTAAAACTGATTTTCACTGACTGGCATAGCTTAGTACATTTTTCTAGTCATGAATATATGCTATTTATAGTATCTATATAGCCATATCCATCTATAGATATAGATTTATCGATACAGATTTATTATACACACACACACACATGCAGTTGTACAGCTAAACTCACATGTGAATTCTTAATTATATGAATTCTTAAGTTTTACTTTCATATGCTATAAATGACTAAAGAGACATTTCTCACTCTCTCTCTTTTTTTTTTTTTTAACTAGATAATTATTTTCACTTATTGTGTCAAACTACATTTGGACAGAAATGAGAATTCAATTAAAGTGCATAAAACCAGCACATTAAAACTGCTTATTAGTTAAATAAACCTACTTTAAGTATGTTGGATACAGAAGAAAAAATTGTCAAAAACATACTTTGTGTTTAAATCTGATTTGTAAAAAAAAAGGAAAAAAGAAAAAAAAAAGGAAGCACTCTCTTTAGATAGTGGATTAAGCTAGATTTGTTCCTGGTCACCAAGCTCCACCGAAATTTTAAAATTAAGACGTCCGCTCACACCTTGTTGATGTTCATTGGGTCGTTCGGTGTTTTATTGTATGTTTGTTTGTTAAGTTCAAGTTTAATGTTTGCTTTCTACTTGGACAAACAAAGGAAAATAAGTTTTCCTGCTTTTCAATTCTCAAATCCATTTTTCAGCTTCAAATGAACTAGGCCTTAAAACAAACCACTTCAGTTTTCAAAAAGAAAATATTCTCTGCACCAGGCGAATAGGTTATTGATGTCAAAAGCTGGCTCAGCAGGGCAATAAACTGATTTCAGTTGCTCAGCCAGTGCCTTCCTTCAGTTTAATCTCTAGATTTTCTTCAAAAAATCCAAAGCTTATTGCTTTAAAAGTTTTAATTTAAACAAAGCAAGTTTAGGTTTCAACAAAGATTTAAAATTGTCAGAGGTAACATTTTCAAACAGACATGTTTTTAAAAAGAAATGCTTACATTTAAAATATGCAATTTTTATTTTTTAAAATATATTCTTTCCATCTATTTTGAAAGCATCTTGGGATCGAGAGGTTTTTGAGCATATTCTGACCACAAAGACACTAAAAAAAAATTCCCCTATAAATATCTGCAACCCAAACACAGCAGAACTGCAGGCTCTCCTGTTTTCACCACCCAAAGCAAAAATGCAAAATATAACAGTACAGTTATACATGCTATTATTTTTAAATTTTTTGTTAAAAACAAGATGAAGGCATTTAGAAAGGAAAAAAAAAAGTTAAAATCTGATAACACCCTTTATTATCCTGTCTGGGATGACAATAATTGGAACACATACAATTTTACTTTGACTCACTGACACTTCATTCTTGTGAAAGAAACAAATATTATTACAATAGGATTGCTTCATCCTAAAGGGTGGGTACTGCAGACAAGGAACTTTCCCTGGGGGGAAAACATTCTCCACAAGCACTAGGAGCATCTTTCATAAGTAATCGCTGGGATTGAACATTTATTTTCTCTGCTTTAGTCTAAATTCCAATGCCTTAAACCAAAGCCAAACCTATAGCAAATCACCCTAAGCAAATTGGGAACAGTGCTAATCCATCAACAATCTTTTATTTTGAGATGACAAGTAGAAAAGCTCCTACTTAACACAACTTGGAGTTTAAATTAATCATGTTTTGTGTCCAACTGGTAAAGCTACAGCGTAAGTCTTTTTACTGGGAGGAAGGGATGGGATGAGAACGGCCTGGCAATGGGACAACAGTACGAAGGGCAAAGGAAGAGGGGAGATAGGTTTTAGGGCTTAAACCACACGACATCTGAGAGCAAAAGCTGCAAAGCACACCCTGGAAACCAAAAAAGGGAAATGAAGAGGGGGAAAGGCACAATGTCCAGGACTCCAGCCAGAGACAAGCAACTTTTTAGGTTGGCACAAGAACATTGAGCACGTTCAGCAGCCTCGGATACAAAAGAAACAAGGACCTCAAACACATGCACGTCAATCTTCTTTTTAAATGTGCTGAGGACAGCGCCTCCCACATGCACGCCGTCTACAGCACGGATGCCACTCCCAAAACTGGTCTTGGAAAAAAAGACACACACAAGCATCACTATTATCTAAGTGACAGCACTGCCAAGGAGCAACCATCACACCTGGCCCCAGCGGCCTAGGCAATACACACCACCCACTGTTTCCACCCTCAAAATAAACACAGCCCCCTTATTTCGTAGGCCAGCGAGGTCGAGATACCCGAGCAACGGGGAGGGCAGCCAGCAAAACAGCCTAGCCTAGGGAAGGTGTTTGGGGTAGGAGCCGGGCCCTTCTCAGGGTCCCTTCAAGGCCACAGAGAAGCAACTCCTTTTTGGTCGGCAAAGGAGCATTTTGCAGAAGAGACACGGGGCTGGAAGGGATGTCCAGAGTCGCAGCCGGCCGAGCCCTCTCCGAGGCAGCTCATCCCCGTCACAACTGCCCTGCACAGATCCAGCTTCTAAGGGGGACTTGCAGACGGGGGCCACGGCCGCCCTCGGGGTGCAGGTCCTCTCGCGCAGGTGGGCTTGCAACAAAAACCCAAACATTTCACAGTGTTACACCCTGTCAGGGGCTTCCCAGGGTCTCTG